CTATGTTATTCCAAAATTAATTTTTCTATTTAATGATATTAAATTTTTGTATTATTTATTTAGTTATTTTTGACTTTGCTTTTAGTAAGATCTAGTTTTTGCTACATTACTTTATAATATAGAGCAAGGTTTGAGTTTGTCCACCTTTTTCTTAAGCTCAAATTGATTAAGCAACATATATATGATGGAAGTAATAAAACATTAGAACGTAAAAATTATATCAGCCATTCTCCATTTACATGAAGTTTGCATTATATTTATCAAAATTCTTTCAGTAGAGCTTCTTAATATTAGCCTTTTTTTAACTATAAATCTAATTGTACTATATAATCTAAAAGAATGTGAAAAAATTAAATTGCCTGCTTTTTGAACTTAAGGCTATACTTTATATTAAGTGTGTTCTACTTGCATTTTTCACTCCTTTTTTAGAACATTTCACACAACTTCCAATTCTTTATTTTCAGTCGAATGCAGTTGGATTATAATTTTCACTTTAGAATATATAGAAGTTAAATAATTAGAAGGAAATTCGGAGTTTAAAGGATAAACCTATTTTAATAAATATTTGACTGTAAAAAGTTAATAAATACCTATCCATACTTTGAATAGATGATTAGGGAATTGCTATATTAGTAATCTTATTCAAAACAAGTAGTACGTTCAAAAAGAATTTTTAATTTTTTATTAGACTAAATATTAATATGATCAAGATAATCTCATTCTGGAACTATTCTTCTACTGTTTATAATTTGCTTTGCTTTATCTCTAAATTTGAATACTACCGTAGCCTTTTTTTTAGAAAAAGACATTGTTTTTCTTTGCCTTTCTAGTTTGGAGTCTTCTTCAATATCCAATTTGGAGTATTTATGAATGTAAACAAATGGAAAAAATAAGTATTTGATAAATCTTGATAAATTTTCAATAAGATATTTATTATAACAGTTACGTACTTCTAATTGAGTAAAATTATTGTGAGTTAAATAGTATTAAAAGTCCTTCTATAAATCAAAGCTTTCTAAGCAAATGAATTTATCATTCAACTAATGTTAAATTAGATTAGATAAATTTTATAATTATATCACTTAAGCTTCCTACTCCTAGAATTACCTTAATTGTAATATCCTTTATTCTAAAGATTACCAATTCTCTTGAAGTTCCATCTCTGTAGTGGTTAATAAAATCATTTTCTTCTAAGGATCCTTTTCAATTTCAATTTTTAGATTTTTTTGTCTGATAATGAGTTAAGATTATAGTGGCTAAGGTATATATCTTTTTTTGGTAGAGAGTTATTCCCCTTTAATCGATATTATTTATTGATTGCTTTTCTAGGCTGTTCCATCCTCCTCCTCTTGTTTTTCAGGAGTGATCTGACTTTCCTATTAACTGACATTATCTACCAAAGAAGAATGAGCTCTAGGTATAATTTTCAATTCATTTGAAGCGAATTAATCAATAATTTATTGGTTAGTAGAAAATTTCATTAAAGGAGAACCAGTATTCTACCTAGCAGCTCTTCTTGATTATTGTATTTCATTTAGCTATCCAATTCTTTGTTATTTTATATGCTTATTATAAGTAACTTATGAGGTTTTAATTTGTATTTGAGGAGTTTATTTAATATAATCTTTAACTTCATCTGATGCAATACTATATTGAGGAGATTGCTGCTGCTCAATGTCAATGTCATTTATTTCATAATACTGGCATTATTTCCAAAAGTCCTCTTTAAAATATTATGCTATTTCCATAATTATTTTTTGATCGCTCATTCCATTAAATTAACTTTTCCTGGCTTTTCTTTTTTATTTTTATCTAGGTTATTTAATAATATAAGTATGAGATTTGATTATCTTTTCCTTATCCGCACAATAATGCACCATCGGACAATATTTGCTAATGTGATCCCTTGAATTACACAAGTAGCATTAAATTCCTATGTCTCTCAAAAACTAATCACCGTTGTTGTAAAGTAAATCATCTCTGATTTAACAGTATTTTTCTTTATCTTCCGGAAACTCTTTCAATGTTTTTAAAAACTAATTCCTTGGTAGTATCAATAATTTAGTAAATCCCTTGCTTTTATAAAACTCATTACACTAGGTTCCTGTTATAAATTCATACAAACCAAACACTTAACCTTAACTTAATTGTGTAATGTAAGAATCATTTTTGCAGTTATTTTAATCCTAAATAACCTATATTGTTCCTACTTCAATGAAAGTTAAATAATAATTCTGATGTGAGTCTGGCTAATCAGAAAAATCAACTATATTTTCAGGTTGCACATCCAAATATCTTATCTTATTTACTAATGCCTTTGTGAAGGCAGGAGAAAGAAATTTGGAGAACATATCACAACTATTTAAAATGATTGAATTGGCTTCTAACATTAAAGAATCTCTTAGATTTTCTGATAATTACTCCAAAATTCCCTTAACTTCTTAAGAGATTTAAGTATTTTGACTTTCCCAATAATAAGCTAAATATTATCGAATTTTCACCTACAATCCATAGGTGATCTTCTTTTTGGCCATATAAGTATTAATTACCCTTAACTTCTATAATTTTTATTCACTGTATTTGGATATTTCATCAATAATAGCTCCAACAGTATTTACACTATAAGGCAATTAGATACTAAATATCATAATAAATATGATGCATGTCACATGTTCTAAATTAGCTAAAGTTAATACAATACTCTACATTAAGGGGTTAGGTCTCCATATCCTACTGTAAACATTGTCACTGTGCAAAAATAAAAGGACCTCAAATATTAAACTATCCATTGCTCATTAAGTATGTCTTCTTTAATCATCCAGCTAGTACCATTGGTTATAGACGAGCTTATTCTGCCACACTATTTTAAATCTAATTTAATACCCCAATCCAAATACATGCAGAAATATGCAAAATGTATAATAATAAGGTGATTAATTTTGCCAGTTCTAAAAAACCAGCCTAAATTTTATTAAGATTTAAGACTTCTTCAAAAATTCGTATTAACTTCGTTATATTTTAGTATTAAACTGTAAATGACAATAATCCTATAAACACAATGGGTTCATATTCTCCTATATAATCCCAGTCTAAAAACAATAAACAAATTAAAAAGATTACTGAAAAGGCATCTAACCCATAACCTTTGCTAAAATTATGCTTTATTATTCTTGATCTCTCTGATACTATTTATCCGAACTAATAATATGCGGTGTTTAAATTGATAAACATGTCGAGAATCATTAAGAATGTTTAAAAGGTAGTTATTATTATTAAGTTTTCAGAATATAACAATCTTTCTTCAAATACCATATCGATTGGAATTAGGATAATGAAATACAACCTAGTTATTGAAAGAACTACATCCCAAATGATCCTCCCCTTATTTTCAGGTTGAATTACTGGAATTTAGTGTAAAACCTATTAAAATTTGTTCAAAATTAAATTAGTTATCTATCTGTATTTAGAAATAAGTTTTTTAGTAAAGCTAGGAGATATAGATAAATGTAAGGTTTTCATCAATCCAAGGGGTTTTAAGGAGTGAGACTTTTAGCCGAATATCTCATTATCAAAGTGAGAAGAAGCATCATTAATTATTTCTAAATGTATTGGTTGTAGCTTTTGAAACATATTTTTATTTCTCAACATTCTGTTTACAAATCTTCTAGTATGAAAATATTTCATAAAACTTCCACTGACATTTGCTGATTGTTTATGGTTTTTTGTAATCATTTATATTGACGACTTATGTTAAAGGGGTCTCTATGATAAATTTTATGGAGGAAGTAGAATCATTTATTCGGACTCTTTTAGTCCTTCAAAATTAGGGGATAATGGACTTAAAATGGCTTTTTCTTTTAAGTCTTTTGAATTAGGAGGAGGCTCAACATCATATTTGCTATTTTATGGCTTTGGAAATTAAATTCCAACATCAGAAATTGATTCCATTGAGAGAAAGTCTATGCATTCCTCTGGTCGAAAGTCACTTATGATTAGGTTATTATCAGTTTCTAAATTAAATTGCATTCTGAATAAATTTTGTAATTTTACAAAATGTTTATTAAGAATTTAAATACTATTAGTTAACTACTCAAGAAATTTAAGAATATTTAATAAAAAAATCAAGGCATTCAAGGTTTTTCATTTCATCCTAAGTTTATTTCCGATAATCCGTGAAAATGAATTTCTTAAATCCATTTTGAAGATTGAGGCTGTGTAGAGAAATATAAATAATAAAAATCTTTTTCAGTTTTGTTTTTTATTCTCAGAATTTAGAAATATAAAAAAAACATCTTTTATATTTTTTTATTTAAGGTTAATTTTCATTAATGGATGAGTATTTTGATTGACCTGAATTATCCTCATGTACAATGATATTCCTAAAGATTTATATATTCGATACCAATGAAATATTGAGAAGTTTTTCATAAAGCCTCTGCTTATTCCTAAATATATTCTTTTGTTAAACGTATTCATTTTGAAAAAGAGTATTATTTTTTAGGAATTTGAACCTTATTTACTTATTTATTGCAGTTTGAAACAAAAAGAAGATATAATTCCTATTGAATAAATGTTAATTTTGAATAGAAATTCCCTATAGTTTAAAAGTTTCGAAAGACAATTAATAATCAATATCCAATGCCTATTAATAATAATGAAATAAAAAATAAGTTTTTAAAGATGAATGTTTTAATATTTTGTTTATATGTAATATCAAGCTCATTTGTTCACTACTTATTCGCCTGACTATGGTTTAGAACCTGGTTGGGGTTCTCCTGATTTAGCTCCATCGATTTTGTCAACCTATCCTGATTTAGGTTTGTTAGCGGAGTCAACTTAACCAGATTTAGGTCCATCAGCGGAACTTACTTAACCTGATTTAGGTCCAGTTCCAACTTCAACTTTTCCTGATGCAGGACCAGCAACTTTTTCTACAGTTCCAGATTATGGAATGTTTCTAGTTAATTTAATTGAGCTCAATCCTTAGTTGCCCAAAAGTACTGAAAGTACTTGGTCGATTGGTTATTTTGGCTCATATGGCCATAATTCAATTTGAGACTTAGGTTTGGTATCGAATGAGCCATCACCAATATGGAGATTCCAGTTATACATTGTTCCTTCGAATGGTTGATTAAATCCATCAGCTCCTAAGTAGAACCAGAATTGATTTGGAACAAAGTGTTTGAGTCCATTGAATTAGAAACTATCCTCTCTATTTAGATATAATGCATAAGCAAATCCTTTTCTTAATTTTGAAGAGTATCCTAAAGTAGAGATAGACCCACTCTCCTTGATTTTCCTTGATCTAGAATTTGGTATTTAAATCGTTTTGATCATCATCATTGGTGTCAAGATTTCCATAATCATAAGTGGATAGGATGAAGGAGTCCTTAGTTTAGAAACCAGCTAAGGTTCTATCACCAGCATTGGTTGCATCCTTCTAATATCCTGGAGCATTGATGGTCAATCTGAAGATTGATTTAACAGTCTCTTCGCTGCTTCCCTTCTTGGCCTGTAACCAACCAGAAACTGCATATTCAAGGACACCTTAATATTAATCATAGAAGGCCTTAATTGGATTTGGATTTTCCTTTTCGAAGTTCTTTTATTCTCTGATAACATTGACATCTGTTCTTTGTGGAACCTTGAGATTTGGTTTTGGATAAGTTTAGATGATGTCTTAGAGGAATTATTACTTGGATCCAACAAAACCTGATCCGAAATTGACTCTAAAATCTGAGATCATACCATTGAAAGCAGGATATCCAAATTCATTATTGGCAACCACAACTCTTGCGTATCCATTCAAAGGGGTGTGTTGAATATCAATGAATTCAATTCTTCCAACAGCATTTTCAGGTAAATCTCCAAAGAGAACGAAACCAACTGCTCTTTGTTGATCCTTGGAAGTGAATGAATAGTAAACATAGTTCCAGTGTCCTTCAAGATAATCATCGTAGTTAACGTTTTGAGCCATAGAAATCTTGTTTGTCTTCTTGTCATAAGTAGTGAAGTGATAGTATCCCTTGCCAACCCAAGTAGCTAAAATTCTATTACCGAATTCAGCATTGTCTTCATATTTTTCAGTATTTGTCAATCTGACGAGATGATGGAATGGTGACTTATCATTAACTCTTTAAGGAGTAGTCATTAACCATCTTGTCCACAATCCATAACCATATTCACTAACACCACCAACTTCTTCCTTGAATGTGACATCGTATCCTGGTTGATCGAATTTTTCACCTTGTGGAACATAGACCAATCCATCCTTCTCTGGTTTCCATTGAGTCTTCTTGACAACTAAACTTTAGACTTCTGGTAGGAGTGATTCGAAGTTGCCTTTCTTGGTATCAACATAAGCTCCTTTTCCAAAGACTGCTCCAACCTTTCTAATTGGGCCTTCCCATCCTCCTAACATACCATCTGAACCAACAAACATAGCAAAGTATTTAGGTATCATATGTAAGACATTTTCATAAGGAACAACAGCAGTTTCTGTTGGGAATTTGACAACTCCTGAGGCAGCTCTCTTAGGCCAACTGTATCCGAACCAGACGTATGTCCAAACACCGAAGTTGTTTCCAACTGGTGTTGGTTTTCTAATATTGGCAATTAATCCACTATCAACAGTTCCTAGAGTGTAGGTTGAGAATACGACTTCTCTTGGTTAGTACATAATCAACAATGTTCTATCTCCAACAGTGGCAGCTTCTTTTCTGTAGGCAGGTTCATTATTGGTCAATCTCAACAATACGTTGTTATCTTTCTTCAAGGTTGCACTTGAATATCTGAACCATCCATAAATTGCATATTCCAATGATCCTTGGTATTGATCTGGCCATTCTTTA